AAAGTCCAACTCACACTCAAGGGGCAGGGGTTACACAAGAGGGTGAACACTGGGAGGGTAGGATCATTGAGGGCCATCTTTAAAGACCACCTACCACGACAGCCTTCTAAAAGTTTTCCACGCATAAAGGACTTCTTTTCCAAAAAGCCCATCCTTTGCATGTGCCTCGATGGACATCAGGGTGACCCTCTCACTTATTATAACACAGAGAATCGCACTTTGTGGAAGATACATAACTTAATAAACAAGTCCCCAGTGGACGGCCATGCAGGTTTTTTCAAGTAAAACACCTTTTTACTACTTAGCCTCGTGTGTACGGAGCATCCCTATGGGCAAGGCTCTGTGCCGGATGTTGGGGGGAAAAGACATGGGAGGATGAGACCCCTACCCTCAAGGCATTCTCAGCCTCGAGGGGAGAAAAGACAGGGAGACAAACACTTGTGAGAAGCCCTGGCCGATGTCATGGTGGCAGGAGGTCCAGGGTTTCAGGTAAGCCCCAAAGAGGGACTAGGCATGTCTGATCATTCCAGAAGGAAGTAAACCCTCTCTCTTTCCACAGATGATCCAAGTAGGTCACAAACCTGTCCTCTGTCTCACCTACACCTTCCACGAAAACACGTGCTCTCGTTGGAACCAGCATTAAAGTCTCAGGGGGTGGAAGCATCGACAATGCCCTTTTTATTTATTTACTTATTTTTAGTTTATTTTTTCGTTCTTGCTGAGGGGGGACAATTTTAGGTTTACTTATTTACTGATTCATTTTAATGGAAGGACTAGGGATGGAAACCAGGACCTTGAGCATGCTAAGCACACGCTCCACCATGAGCTATACCCTCCCCCGACAGTGCCATTTTTATGTGATGCCCAGACCCTACAGGGTCTAAAAAATGCCCTAGAAAGTGAAGTCAGCGTGAGAGAGGAAGAAAACAAAACAAAACAAAACAAAAACAACCAAACAAAGAGCTTGGCATTTTGGAAACCAAACAACTGACTACATTGCACTTTTCAGTCAGGGTTTTGGCATCTTTTAGTCACTATATAAATTAGCTCATGTGACACTTTTATGGAGATTTTTTCTTTTAAGAGAGAATTCTGTGCTCATTTTATCCTCATCAAATGCTAATTCTTTTTGTCTACCTGGAAAGAATATACCATAGAATTAGCTTAGTACTCACTGTTCGATTGGTCACAAAACAGTCAAGAGAGGACAAGGCTTTAGAACATGTGTTGCAGAAAACGCCCCTGTGCTCATAAGGTGCCAGCCATGCTTTGGGTTCTCAGCAGCGTTGCTGTGTGTCCTGGAGTCCTTACAGTAACTGGGCCCTGCTCTGCTTTTCAGGTCAATTACACTTAGCCTTAAGAAGGAACATCTTCCCCACGGCTGGCTACTGTCTGACGAATGAGTGCTCGTTTTTTCCTGAAAATACCTCCGATAAAAACTATTTTTCTGAAGTGGTAAAGGTATGAACATTGGATTTAGATACTCAGGTTGGAGTCTGAGATCCAATGCCTATGAACTGCGTGACCTGAGATAAATCATTTAGCTTCAGTCCAAATCGATTTCCCTACCTTTGAAATGGATTTAGTCATGCCCACCCCACTGGGTTGGGTTAAAAATCCTTAGCACAGTGCCTGGCTCAGAGTGAGGACTCAATGAGCTACGACGGGATCACCGATGTTCGCTGAACTGGTGCAGGGGATGTTTAATGCTCCCTCATTTTCTCCTCCTGGAAAGCAGCTTGGTTGTAGCAGTGGTGGAGGGCGACAGGGGAGATGTGAGCACTTTACGCATCATCTGGCAGGTTTGGACTGAGTCAGGGGAGGGAGGAAGGCAAAAGGGAGACAGAATTCAGCACTAGAAGGGCCCCTGCTCCCCAGCCAGGGAGGAAAGGATCCTCTTAGGGTGAGAAAGAGCAAGTTTAGTCAATACAAATTCCATCTCTCCCCAGGTAACCGTGTCCCCATGAAGCTTTAGGAACAGTTACTGCCAGCATTGCACTGGCCAGCACACTCAAAACCCCTTTAGAGGGAGCAAATTTGTTCAAATTTCTTGGAAAGATAAGGCTTAAGAGATAAAAAGCTCTATCACTTAGTGCCTGAAGTTCACTAAAGATAACTGAGTTTTTCCCAGGAGCCAGTTTTGGTCAGATATGGGGGACCATGAAATAGGGGAAGAGAATGGAAGAGAAGCTGGACCGGGGTCCATTTCTAGAATTTCTCTGTAAATTTGTCTCCTAGCTACAGGCAGCCTGAAAAGGCAGACTGCAAGCTGGAGCTAGAAAACCCAGGTTTGCATGGAAGGACTACATTTTGAGTATTTGTATTTTACGCCAAATGGGCACAGTAAAACCTCAATGTTTTCTCCCTTAGGGTTGTAGAAAGGATCACAGGAGAGAAGGGGAAATAAAAAGCGCTTTGAACATTCCACGCAAACATTAGTATTAATTGAGTGCAATCTACCACTCTCAAGTGAATAAAAATTCACTCGAGCGAATAAAAATAATTTTGACCTCCTGTGCTCACCCATCAAACTTGGCTTCTCCCACAATATTCCTGATACCACTAGAGCTACCCTGGGCAGTGGGTAATCCCAGAACACCACTGAGGGTCAACCTTTATGCATTTAAATGTCAGGACAGGGTCAACAATTTCAAGGCATTGTAAAAACAGCAGGGGAGATACATTCGCTTTGTCTGCATCAGGCTTTCTAACCCCTGGGCTGGATGATTCTTTGTTGTGCTTTGCAGGATGTTTATCAGCATACGGGCCACTACTCACTGGATGCCAAGTGCACTACCCCAAATTGTCACAACCCAAGATGTCTCCAGAGATTGCCAAGTTGGGGGTGCGGGAGAGTTTGCAAAATCACCCCCAGTTGAGAACCACTAGTCTGCATACAGAAAAGAAACATGGAACAGCAGTTTGGGGCAAAGATGTCTGTTAGCTGATATTTTGTGGCTGCAGAAACACAGATTTCAGACGGCTGCAGAAGTAGAAAGGGAAGCTGCTGGCACTTGCAGGACATAAATGTGGTACCTCTTGTCTCTCAGGCTGGAAAACCTACACCTCCACAGCCAGTGGCCATTCCACAGTTGTCATTTGGGGGATGGTGGGATGGGACAAAAGGCCTGTCTTGGATTAAAAGTTAATGTGGGGCAGAAGTAGGGGGTGGGCATAGCTTAGTGGTAGAGTGCATGCTTAGCATACATGAGGTCCTGGGTTCAAACCCCCAGTACCTCCATTAAAAAAAATTTTTTTTAATAAACAAATTTTGTAGTTTCCTTAAAAGAAAAGTTCATACCACTAGCATGTGTCCACATCCTCTGCTGGTGACAAGGGCCTGCCCTGCAGGGAAACCAAAGGTAGAGAGTGCTCTCTCCTCTCGAGAAGCCTGGTTGTATTAATAATATATCCCCAAACTTCATGTCAACAAAGGGGACCTCTCACCACAGAGAAATACAGGCCATCCACTGGCAGTCGGCAGCCTCAAAATCTGATCCTTTTTTTTCATTTTCCAAAGCAGCAGACGGAGACCACGAAAAGTCTCGTGTGCAAGAGCCCGGGAGAAACTCACTCAATCAAGGCTTTGATATTTTTCCTTGCCTGCTCTGGAACCATCCTGCTAAAGCAGAAAAGCAAAGTGACGTTACTAAAGAAGAAAGTGTAAAAAGACTCTTGGTTCTGTTCTAGGCATTTCCGAACAGCTGAAAGAAAGAGGGGATCAGACTGCCCCTGGCCAGGCCTCAGCTAACGTCCAGTCCTTGAGGGAGAGAAAATAGGCAGTTAAACACTGCCTGGGAACTTTCCAGAGCTGAAGATGATGCCAGAAATTTCCCAAGCAGGGCCACTCCTTTTCTCCTCCCACCCCAAAGGCCTGTCTCCTGCCTTTTCACAGAATCATTCAAACCAAACACATCAGGAGCTATGACGTGGGCAGTAACTAGATTTCCAGACAAATAAAAATTAATACAGAGGGGAAAAGAGGACCCACCAATATACGTTAGACCCTACTCTTTGGACTCACCTGTCAAATGTTACCCTGCAGCACAGATTAAAATAAAAGCCTGCCTCCCTCACTCCAGGCAGACACCGTTCTCCAGGGGTCAGCTCAGCTGGGAAGTCTGCTGGAAATTCAGTGGCAGGCTCTGGCCATTCCTAGACGCTCTCTGGAAGGCAGAGTTCGAGTCAAGTGAAAGCATGTTGGCTCCATCCCTTGACAAAGCCCCGCAGCCAGGGAGCAGGTGTAGCCTGCCAAAAACAAACAAAAACTTCTCTCAAACAACAACAAACAGTTAACACCCGCAGCCTGTCAACACCAATTAGCCTGCCCTACAAGCAGAAGCCCATTAAGACCAGCGCTCAAATCCAGCCAGGTCCTCCGCAAGCAGAAACTGTCATCTCCGGGCTTCCCCCAAGGAAGTGACCTTAGGTGGGAACTCACAACAGCAAGGCCAGCCCTCAGGCCCCTCCCACTCCAAGGGGCCCACACCGCACAGATTATGGCCTTCCCCAGCCCTAGGCAATACTGTTCCTTCCTCCGTATCATTAAAATTATTTTTGATATAACTTTCAATACTTCAACACTTTGTGTTCTTGATGTTTTCAGCAAAATTTAATAGGTTTTTGTGGGCCTGAAAATTAAGACATTTCTTTTGAATATTCCCATTCCCTTTGGAGGTTTTTTTCCCTTATTTCAAGAGAAATTAAACATTTTCCTGGGCCCCTAAAAGTATCACGGACCCTAAGCACTGTGCCCACAATGTCTAATGATGAACTCAGCTCTGATTCAGTAGATACTTGTTACCCACGGCCTACCCATCCGGCCAAACAAAAGTCTGGCTTCTTTCTTTCAGTGGATAAAATACTGACATGATATGCCTGGAAGTTGTATCTTTCAGTTTAGCCCTTAAGAGTGATTCCCTACACAGGTAGACTCCGAGAGGCTTAAAAAAAAAAATCAAGTCACCACACAAGATACATTTTCTTCAATATTTTATTTA